TCAACTGTAGGCTTTTAGTATTTAAGTCAATAATTATATTCGAATTTTGACTGTGCAGAGGGTTGGAGCCCCCTAAGTCCTGCATTGTTCACGATTTAACTGTCGCTAATTCACAGATAATATAGAGAAATGGAGAAACAAGGCCTTAGGAATAAAAATGCTTGCCTCCATCCTAGGGGAAGAAAAAAAAAATTAGTTTGGGGTAGATCAACAATGAAAATAAACCAGAAGGTATCCTATCTAATAATAGAGCAATATGCAAATTAACCGCCACTCTGCAACAAAATGACCACCCCCATAGCCACAAGATGGCGGCGCTCAGTTCCTTCAGCCCCGCTACTGGAGTGTCTGGCCTGTCCAAAGGAGCAGCGAGACTGGATCTGCCTCCAGCGGGGGCACATCCAGCCTTCCTATTCCACAGCTGCTGCAGTGTCTGGGTCTGTCAGTCCTGCTGGGATTCACGGGGATCAAGTAGCAAGGCTAGATCTGGCCCCATCCTGGCAGACAGAGCCCCAGCAGCAGGGATTGGGGGCTTCCTTAGCAAGGTGGAGGTGGGAACACCCTCAGGCCCTGCAGACAGAGCCCAGACAATAGGACATGGGGACTTCCTTAGTGTGTCAGTGTCAGTGAAGCCCCCGGGCCTGGCAGACAGAGCACACTGCAGAGCATTGGGATTTCCTTCACATGGTGCATGGTGGCAGCAGGCAAAGCAGACAGCAGGGCATGGGTGCTTTATGTCCATGGCTGCAGCGAAACTCCCAGACCCCACAGAGAGTAGAGAATCATGGGAAGTGGGCCTAAGCCATCAGTAGGACATCCCCTGAGAGTTCCTCGATTGTAGAGGGTGCAGAATTTCGTGCACCAGGCCTCTGGTTTCTTAATAAGATCTTATATAGTAAATTTTTACTAAATTTCCCACTTGCAATTATTATTTTTGATAATACATGTGGATTGAACATATAAATAAACTATATTTAGGGATGCTAAGGAATGAATGAGATTCAATATCTTTTTGGTTTGATGACCAGCATGTGGTATCCCTTCCTTACCAACCTAAGAGTTTACCCTAGGTAAAGGGATTAGGAGGCAGCTCCCTTCTTCCAGATTCTCAGCATATACTCAGGCTATAGAACTTTGGGATACATAGGTCCCTCAGGGATCAGTTTAAATGAGTGAAGGTAAGTCACTGAATTATGAGCCCTTTAGACATATTTCTAAACAGAATGCATAGTCATTCTACCACAGAACACCCTTCCCCAACTCCACCCCAACACTTTTCCTATAATCCCTATGTAGGTAGGACTTATTTTTAAATTCTCTTCTTTTTCCATCTACCTGCAATGCAGGTTTTTCCATATTCTATTCATGAAATTAGAAGAAATGTTACAGACATTCTAAGAATATAAAGACTAAGATTTCTCTCCTGGCCCAATTCCCTTCTGGCAGGACTGCTGTATATGTTAGTATACAGGAATGTGCACTGCACAAGTTCATGGGGTGTCATTCATATTGTCATCAATGGAAAATGTCCCCTACTGAAGTTGTGCAGAGTTCAACTTACACAGCATACAGGCTGCCATTCCTCCTGACAGCTGCCTTCGACGTAAGGATAAGGACAGCAACTTAACTAATTAATATTTCGGAAGCTCCTGCTTAGTCTTCATAGATACATTGCAACTTCTAGACATGTTACCTTTTTTGTAATTAAAGAAATCTTGAAAGATTTTTTTCAGTATTTTCAGGATTAAGTCTGTTACTGGTGGATTCTAAGAGTGCTGGTCTAATTTTATCAAAATCATTTAGATTAGTTGTTTAAAAAATAAAGGTTTCTCACCCAGCTGTCATAGCTCAGTGGTTGAGCATTGACTTATGAACCAGGCAGTCATGATTTGGTTCCTGTTCAGAGCACATGTCTGGGTTGCGGGCTCGATCCCTAATAGGGGGTGTGCAGGAGGTAGCTGATCAAAGATTCTCTCATCATTGATGTTTCTAAATCTCTTCTTCTCCCTTCCTCTCTGAAATCAATAAAAATATGAAAGAAAGAAAGAGAGGGGGGGGGTAGGGAAGGAGGGAGGGAGGAAGGAAGGAAGGAAGAAAGGAAGGAAGGAAGGAAGGAAGAAAGGAAGAAAGAAAGCAGGCAGGCAAGAAATTCCTGGACTTTGGATTGAAGATTCTGGCTTGAGAGATACAAGATAGGACCCTGAAGTCAGTTTACATTAGAACACAACCCCCCATACTCCATCTTACCCTGGGTAATTCTAATGCACAGCCCTGTTTAGGAAACACTGGTCTACCTTCTCTCTAGATACCAAGGCTTCGCCATTGGACTTCAAGCAGCTTCACTGATTTCATACCACATGCTGTATTTCAGTTTTTCTGGAATCTTTAAGTCACTCAATATACATCATGCTATTAGGTGCATCAATTATGTTATACATTCCTCTGTCTGCAAGAGGGGTTTTTATTTATTTATTTATTTATTTAAAAATTTATTTTTTTAATAAATAAATATATATTTTTTAATTTCTCTGTCAATTGAACCTGTCTCTTGTTCTTTATTACCTAAATGATATGGGGTGTCATTCATATTGTCATCATTGGGAATGTCCCCTCCTGGAGTTGTGCAGAGTTCAATTTACACAGCTGTACAGGCTGCCATTGCAATTATTATCAAAATTTTAATAATTTTTATGCTATCGCCTTGATTGGACTTCTAGTACTCCCTCACCTAGAATCCATTATTCCCACATCTAGGTTCTTATAAGAGTACAAGAGGCCCAGTGCACGAATTCATGCACCAATGTGGTCCCTCGGTCTGGCCTGCGGGGTCAGGCTGAAACCAGCTCTCTGACATCTGTGAGGGGTCCTGGATTGCAAGAGGGCACAGGCCGAGGGACCCCAGTGGTGCACAATCTGAGCTGGGGAGGGACACGAGAGGTTGGCCAGCAGGGGAGAGACTGTGAAAGGGCTCCAGGGCATGTCTGGCCCGTCTTGCTTCATCCCAACTGGCTGGACCCCAGCAGCAAGCTAACTTAAAGTTTGACTACCTACTCCCTGATGGTCAGTGCACATCATAGCAAGTGGTTGAGTGGCCTTAGGATGTCATTAGCATATTACACTTTGATTGGTTGAACGGTCAACTGGACACAACTGGACAACCAGACACTTAGCATACTAGGCTTTTATTATATGGGATGTATTATAAAATTGATCCTCAATAGATACTGCCCAAAAAGAATTTTTAAAATCATGTGCTTAACACCATAAATTTGCATTATGTTTACAGTGTTAAGTCTAAATACCAAAAATATAATTTCTACCATGTTAAAACAGCAACTTTTTCAAATAAGTGTATGCCTTCACTTTTTAAAATATATCCAACATAATCCCAACACCTGTCTTAGGTCATATTCTTTCAGAAAACACCATTGAAAGTGATGGATTAGTCAGGAGCTCCCAAGAGAAATGGATCAGCGAGTAGAAAAGATGTGATAGGATTCAGGTGAAGTCCCAGCCTCAGCCTAATGCTGCTCAGAGCTCAGATGGCAAGTGCACGTCCAAGTTCACCCCCTAGCTAGTCAATGAAGTTATCACGTGCAGCTCTGCGTTTGTAATTTTTAAAATAAATATATATATTATTGACTTTCTACAGTGAGGAAAAGGGATAGAGAGTTAGAAACATCGATGAGAGAGAAACATCAACCAGCTGCCTCCTGCACACCCCTTACTGGGGATGTGCCTGCAACCAATGTACATGCCCTTGACTGAAATTGAACCTGGGACCTTTCAGTCTGAATGAAACTCTATCCACTGAGCCAAACCGGTTTCGGCTTGTTTGTCATTCTTGGCTGTGATGTGGTGGATGTCAAGGCAGGGGGATAGCAAACAGACTTCTAGGCACTTCCTTCTGTTTTAGAGTGGAGGCTCCACAAGCCTAAAGCCAGAGCAGCCAAGCATGCCAGCTGGGAGATGGGCTATCTGGCTGGGGTCCTGCCCTCAACCATAACCTCACATGATATTAGTGGTAATTTAAAAATACATAGACTTCTGATTCTGAGAAGATGGTGTATATATACTTTTTCCTGTTCCTTCCACGAAGTGCCACTAAAAACTCAACATTTTATAAAGAAGATGACACAAAAAGCTGGAGAAGGAAGTCCAGCTAGAGATCACAGGACCTAAGAAGCAACACAGAGCGAGTTCGCTGGGTTTTCCTTTTGCCTTGCGTATCCCCAACACTGGAAAAGCCAGCAACCAGAAATGCCAATGGGCTCAGAAAAAAGAAGGAAAATTCAATAAAAGCCTACTCTCTCTAGCCAAAGAACCAGGAAAGGAACAAAACTTCCATCAAGTAACAGTTCTACTGATGAGGCTCAGCAGTTAGCTGGACATGAGTCCAGGCAGGGCAGGAGAGCTGGGAGTGTTTCAGAAGTGAAGGCTCCTGGAATGGAAGAGAGGGCTTAAACAGAAAGATGGGAATGCTTACAGCACAGGGTTATTTGCCTGTGGTTGACAATTAAAGCACTTGAGAGCTACAAAAAAAAATACAGGTGCTAATTGTCCCTGTAGATTCTCAGGTCCTTTCTGTATCTTTTCATAATCTACAGATGATTCTGAGGTGCAATAAATGTTAAAAATAAGTTAAATTATAACTTTATTCAAATATTCCTAAAGTTCAGGTTCTCTTGAAAGGATATGATAGTTGTTTTGCAGTAGAAATTAAAACTTAAAAGAAGAGATATATAGACAATAATAATTTTATTTTTGTAATGAATTTCTATAATTTAAAAGATAGTACTTAATGAACAAATATTATACACAGCTATTTTTAAAAGATATCTATGTTTATAAGTTGGGTGTCTCTAAAATATAGAGAAAACTTAAATCTTGCTTTTCTGAATGTCTGATACACTCAATAAACTAAAATACTCTTATAAAGAGCAGCTTTGTAATAATTATTAGAAAACATTATTCTACCAAAGACACTGTAGAACCAAATCTCAGTAATCTTCAGGGAAGATAGTAACATTGATTCCAGGATCATCATCATTTTCAAGTTCTTTATCATTGTCTTCAGTAACACATTTGCCACATGCTTTTTCTCGGTTTCTTTTTTTCTTATGAGAATATGAAGTATTTTTCTTGATGATTTTCTTTTTGGGATGTAAGTCAGTAATTCTTTCTCTTTCCAAAGCATGTTGTAGGCAGTTGTAAAACCTATAAAGACATAAATACTACTGTTACATCAGAGTGTTTTAAAATTGGACAACTGAAATTAATCTAGAATTTAAATTATACAAATTTGATCTCATATTAACCTTAATATAAAACAAGTTAAAAAAAACAACAACATGATTTTTGCTTTTATTATTGTTTAATTAGGGGACGAAATGTGTTTTCTACTAAGAACAGTCTTGAAAATTGAGTTGGAATCACATCTTTTTATTTTTTTATTTTTATTTATTTATTTATTTTAAAAATATATTTTATTGATTTTTTTACAGAGAGGAAGGGAGAGAGATAGAGAGCCAGAAACATCCATCCACTGAGTCAAACCGGTTTCAGCTAAATCGCTCTTTTATGAGCACAGAGAATTAACGCTTATGTAAAATATCTTGTCTATCACACATAAAAAAATAAATAAATAAATAAATAAAAAGGAGCCGAAACCGGTTTGGCTCAGTGGATAGAGCGTCAGTCTGCAGACTAAAGGGTCCCGGGTTCGATTCCGGTCAAGGGCATGTACATTGGTTGTGGGCACATCCTTGGTAGGGGGTGTGCAGGAGGCAGCTGGTCAATGTTTCTCTCTCATTGATGTTTCTAGCTCTCTATCCCTTTCCCTTCCTCTCTGTGGAAAATCAATAAAATATATTAAAAACAAACAAACAAACAAACAAACAAACATTTAAAAAAAAGGAATTAAAGAGGAACAAGTACCTTACTTTAATCTTCCACTAAAGAAGCTAAGAACTCAAAGCTACATCCTTGAGGTACCACAATACAACTGGTAAATGGAACAAATACACTTTTATGCAAAAAGCTAAGAATAAAAACTTCAAATACTTTCTCCTTTTCTTTTTTTAAGGGAACTTTCAAAAAGTCTTTTGGGAAGCTATTTTACACATTAAGTCAGAAATTTGTTTTTCAATTGCATGTTCTCCAAAGTATTCTAAAGTTCAATTCTCAAAGTGTAATTTCCTCAGCACTCACAGGCAACCAAAAGAGCTTGGAGTGTAAAAAGAAATGTATACTCAGACAACTGTTTCTCTTCTCCCCTCAAAAGAAAGTCAAATTGTCCTGTTTTTCTACCTCTGCAGTCAAGATTATCATGCTGTAGGGCAACTTGTACTCAGTTCTCTTCATTAGAGAACTTTTCAGGCCAATGCTGTTAAATGAATCCTTGTCTTCCAGATCAATACAGGACTACTTGCAATAAAAGGCTGATATTTCTTTGATTTACGAAATAGGAATGAAAAATTGATAAAATCTAGGCACAATTTCATACCCTTCTAGGCTTCCATTATTCATAAGTAACAAAGAAGGCTATTTTCCTATAGTATGCATTTAGATTTTAACTAAACTCTAGCATTTTATTTAAAAACATGTGTGCAAAGGCCTGTCTCGGGTGCTGGAAACGGAGGTAAGGAGCTCAGGGTCTAACGGGAGCTGCAGAGCTGTTAGGACACATGCAACACCCCACGAGAAAGATAAATTAAAGTGGGAGCACATTGGGGGCACTTTGCTCCAAGTGAGATCATGAAAAGCTCTTTGGGAAAAACCCAATGCCTGGTCAGAATTGCAAGGGCGAATGCAAACCTGGCTAGGTGATGGGAGTAGAATTATGGGAGGAATACAGGAAGGGAGAGGATATTGAGGGGAAAATTATCAGAATAGAAAATATAAATTTTTTCACTTTACATTATTTACCTTTTTGATCTTAAGTATACAGGGAAATGTACAAGTTGTTTATTTATCTGCTTTAGTTCCATTTTTAAAAATAAGTCTAGAAAAGCGGCGAAAAGCAGGGCCCTCGGAGTCGCGCGCAATGCACGTGCAGAGGACTGCATGTTGACTCTGATGTTGGGTTACCCTAGTCGGAAGAAACAAGGCCTCCGGCAGCGCTGGGCCTCAGTCCGGACTGCTCCGAACCCCAGTTCTGGGCCAATCCCTGGGGACCCAGACTCAGGCAGAGGGAGACGGGGCTGTGAGGTGGAGTCTGGGGAGAGCGGCGAAAGGCCGGGCTCCCGGACTCGCGCACACTGCGCGCAGAGGACAGTCTGTTGATTCTGATGCTGAACTCCCCTAGCGGGAAGGAGAAATAAAGCTCCAGGCTGGGGGAACATGGCTGGGAGCAGGAGCCCCTGCCGGACGCCGGCCAACCAGGAACCAGCAAGGAGCCTGGCGACGGGGCCCCTGGGGGAGGGGGGTGCCCCTGAGCCTTCCACCGCTGAGCACGGGCAATGGAGCCAAGGCCAGGGGCTACTTCCTGGGCGGCGCCATACCCGGCAACAGGCTAAAGCAGCGCAGGAGCCCGCGGAGAACAAAGGGGTGCCACAGGCCAACCTGCTGAGCTCCCAGGACAAGGAGGAAGAAACCAATGAAGTTCTCAATGTGAAGAACTCAAGTGAGAGCAAAAGATAGTAAAATTACTTAAGAAAGAATACAAAGAAGTTCTTGAAAAATCAAAGACTAAGTCAGAACTCAACTCACCAGCCAAAATCGCAACATAAATGCGTTTAAAAAAAAGAAAAAAGAAAAAAAAGGACAGAATGTTGGAGCAGTGGCAGCCAGGCCTAGAGTGGCCAGGCACAAGGCAGTGGCAGCCAGGCCCGGAGCAGCAACGGCCAGGCTCCACAGCAGCAGCAGCCAGAACCAAAGCATCAACAGCCAGCACTGGAGCAGCCAGACCTGGGGCAGTGGCAGCCAGGCCTGAGGCGGAGGCGGCCAAGCCCAGGGTGGCCAGTCCAGGAACACCCAGACCCAGAGTGGCCGGGCCCGGAGAAGCCGGGCCCAGAGCAGCCAGACCCAGAACAGCAGTAGCCAAGCCCAGAGCATCCAGGCCGAGAGTGGCCAGGCCCGGGGCAGCTGGGCCCAGAGCAGCCGGGTTGGGTGCGGCCAGGTCCGGAGCAGCGGCTGCCAGGCTGGGAGCGGCCAGGCCCGGGGTAGCAGCCGGGTCGGGTGCGGCCAGGCCCGGAGCAGCGGCTGCCAGGCAGGGAGTGGCCAGGCCCGAGGGAGCAGCCGGGTCGGGTGCGGCCAGGCCTGGAGCAGCGGCTGCCAGGCTGGGGATGGCCAGGCCTGGAGGAGCAGCCGGGCCGGGTGCGGCCAGGCTGGGAGCGGCCAGGCCCGGGGGAGCAGCTGGGTCGGGTGCGGCCAGGCCCGGAGCAGCGGCTGCCAGGCTGGGAGCGGCCAGGCCCGGGGGAGCAGCCGGGTCGGGAGCGGCCAGGCCTGGAGCAGCGGCTGCCAGGCTGGGAGCGGCCAGGCCCGGAGCAGCTGGGTCGGGTGCGGCCAGGCCCAGAGCAGCGGCTGCCAGGCTGGAGCGGCCAGGCCCGGAGCAGCCGGGTCGGGTGCGGCCAGGCCCGGAGCAGCGGCTGCCAGGCTGGGAGCGGTCAGGCCCGGAGCAGCAGCAGCCAAGTCCAGAACAACTAGGTCGGGAGCAGCAGTGACCAGACCCGGAGCAGCTTGTTGTGGAACGAACCAGAGCAACAGAGGCCAGGCCCTGAGCAGCCAGGCTCGGAACAGCTCGCTCCTCGCCTGCCCCTGCCCCACGGCTGCCTCTCAGACATGGCTGGAAACTTTCGCGGGAACTTGAGGGTCTGCTGAATCAAGTGATGAAGGCTTAGATCTGGATGTGTTGAGTTAGTATAGGGCTGGGGTGTTGATCTGTGAGTGCCTTGGGTGGGTCCTGGATGAGGCTGGTGGACCTATTGGGAAATGGCTTTTGTGTGAAGTGTATCTTTGGGCATGTGGAGGTATTATTAATATGAGAAAATGCTAAGTAACTGAATTACTATCTGAAAAGGGATTTACTATCGGGGGAAGGGAGGGAAGAAGAGATTGAACATAAACTGTGCACCTATGGATGAGGACAATGGGGGATGGGGAGGGGGCGGAGGGTGGGGTGGGAACCTGGTGGAGGGGGGAAGAAATGAGGAACCTTTGTAATAATATGAACAATAAAGATTGATTTAAAAAAAAAAAAAAAAAATAAATAAATAAATAAATAAAAATAAAAATAAGTCTAGTGCCCTAGCCGGTTTGGCTCAGTGGACTGAAGGGTACCAGGTTCGATTCTGGTCAAGAGCAGATGCCTAGGTTGCGGGCTCGAACCTCAGTGGGGGGGGGGTGCAGGAGGCAGTCAATGATTCTCTCTCATCATCGAAGTTTCTCTTTCTCTCTCCCTTTCCTTTCCTCTCTGAAATAAACTTTTTTTTTTTTAATTAAAAAAGAAGACTAGCAACTCTGAGGAGTCTGAGACATCTGCTATCCTGACTCCTTCTCTTCTGCCATTTCTAATCTTTTTATATACATACATACATACATATATATATACACACACACACATATATATACACATACATATATACACACACACACACACACACACACATATATATATATATATATATATATATGCTATCATATATATATATTCTGCAGTATCATGCCCATTCAGCTTGTCACTCAGGGTCCTGTTCATTTATCTGAACCATGTAGCCAGAGCCTGCTCACCCATGTCCCAGCCATCTTCCATGTGTTCCAGAATGGTCATTCTAAGGCTTTGAAGCCTTAAACATGGATAGAAAAAGTCACTTAGCTAAATTGAGAAACATTTATTAACCATTATTCTTATGAATCTGTCCTTGCTTTTGGGGAACACTATATGTATTAACATTTAAATTCCTTTATTGCTTATAATGAATTCTATAAAAATGCTTATTGAGTTTCAAAAATAAGCCAGGCACTATGTAAGGTTTTAGGATAAGATATAGAGAGATATTTTGTGCATGTGCATGGGTGTGCATGTGCGTGCAGTTGGTTGTAGGGGAGAAGTCAGTCCTATCTTAATGTAGTGGGAAAAGAAGATACACGTGTAATTAAGTAATTGCATGTCAATATGATTCATATTTCTGTTTTCCACTGAGGCATGAGCTATAATGATGCTGGTAAATGATAATATGAATCTGAACCAAAGAAATCGCTTTGGGGTTGAGACTAGGCTAAGAAAGGTATTAAGGAAAGACTGATAGGATATTTTAGTTACATATCTTCAAAAGATTATTGGGTATATGGGCCTATGACTTGGGGAAGACTTGGAAGACCCATCAGTATACGGGGAAGCAGCTGAGGCTATGGGCCAAGGGAGAGAATCCTAGAGTACAACAATATTTTACCAATAGGTAGAATAATAAGAAAAATCCAGAAGGAAGAAAAGAAGGAAGAGATGCAGAAAAGAAAGGATATAACAGAAATTCTTATCAACTGGTATATGAAAAAAGGCTCAATATCACTAGTCACCAGAAAAATACAAATCAAAACCAAAGTGAGATATCAACTCACCTGTCAGAATGGTCATTATTAAATAGACACACACATAACAACAACAGCAACAACAACACATACATACAAAAAGACAAGATTGCCGAGACCGGTTTGGCTCAATGGATAGAGCGTCGGCTTGGGGACTGAAGGGACCCGGGTTCGATTCCGGTCAAGGGCATGTACCTTGGTTGCGGGCATATCCCCAGTAGGGGGTGTGCAAGAGGCAGCTGATCGATGACTCTCTCTCATCGATGTTTCTAGCTCTCTATCTCTCTCCCTTCCTCTCTGTACAAAATCAATAAAATATATTTAAAAAAAAAAAAAAAAAAAAAAAAACAAAAAACAAAAAGACAAGATTATTGGTAAGGATGTTGAGAAAAAGGAACCCTTGCTCATTGCTGGTGGGAATGTAAAATGGTACAGTTCCTGTGGGAAACAGTATGGTGGTTCTTAAAAAGAATTTTAATGTAAAATTACCATTTGATCCAGCAATTCCACTTCTGGGTATATACCAAAAGATTTAAGAAGAGGGACTCAAACAGATATTTATACACCTATATTCATAGCAGTATTATTCACAATAGCGAATAGGAAAAAGAAAAATCTAAATGTCCATAGACAGATCAATCAATAAACAAAATATGGTATATAAATACAATGGAGTATTATTCAGCCTTAAAAAGAAATGCAATTCTGACATATGCAACAACATGGATGAACCTTGAAGACATTTTGCAAAGTGAAATAAGTCAGACACAAAAGGAAAAAATGTTTAATTCCACCTATATGAAGTATTTAAAAATCAGAGAGTAAAACTAGAATAGTGATTAATAGGGGCTGGAAGCTTGGAGAATGGGGAATTATTGTTTAACTAGAGGCCTGCTGCATGGATTGGTGCACTGGTGGGGTCCCTTGGCCTGGCCTACACGGATTGGGTCAGCCAACACTGGCTGTATGACATCCCCAGAGGGTCCCAGATTGTGAGAGGGTGCAGGCCAGGCTGAGGGATCCCAGCGGTGTACAATTGGAGCCGGGAAGGGACCGCTGGAGGGCTCCAGGGTGTGTCTGGCCCATCTCGCCCAGTCCCTATCCTCCGGACTCTAGCAGCAAGATAATTTACTGGTCGGAGCATCTTACCCCTGCAGGTCAGTGTGCATCATAGCGACTGGTCGAACAAACGGTTGGACACTTAGCATATTAGGCTTTTATTATATAGGATGGGTACAGAGTTTCAATTTGGGATGATGTAAAAGTTTTGGAGATGGATAGTGGTGATAAGTGGTTACATAACAATGGCACTGAACTATACACTTAAAATGGTTAATATGGTAAATTTTGTTATGTATATTTAACCATAATAAACAACACCCAGCCACTGAAATAGACTCATTTACTTTTCTCTCCAATTTACTTCATTTTTATCAATTATATGCTAATATATTCAACCCTTTTATTCTATTCTTTATTTTACATTTATTTTTCTTATTACATAGCTGGTAAAAAGAACATGGCTATTTTCACTGTACTTATAGCCAAATGATAGTTTCATCTGACTCACATCAGTCCAATCTCTTATAAACTGAATCAAAGACAGTCTTCCTCTAGTAATTGGTAAGTGGATCTCCAAACTTTACATTTTTCACTTAGAAATCATTATGTACAAAATTATCTTACTTTTCCCAATAAATGGGGCTTGGAAATTAGTTTTCACAAGCAAGACCTTTCATCTATTAAAAGTATTTTTAAGCCTCTGGCTTTGGTTTTTCACATTGGCAGAAAATTCCTTATTGATAAAATATTACTTATTTGGATCTTGACTTTTAAAAGTTCTTTTATTATAGCTATTTTAATTGTGAAACTTTGGACCTATGACAAACCAATTTTAGTAGTCAGGGTCTGATTGCAGAACTCATCACTTCCAGAATTTATTATTTTTTTCTCTTTCTAACATCAGAAGAGTAACTTTTTCTCTGCATCTATTATAGTTGAAAGTACAGCTGCTCCCAATGGAGCTTCCTAATTTGTACAGCCTTTCTGAATTCACATGTAATCTTCTAATCAGTGTCTTAAGACACTTTTTACCCTTCTCTAATTTTTCACTGATTTTACGTGATGAGCATGGCTCTCTTGATAGCAGCATGCACACTATAATCTCAAAACATATCTTTGAGTCAATGGATTTAAAGCATAATTTGATTTTATAGCTCGTGAACAGGGCTCAATTAACTTCACCAGGTGTATAGTTACTTGATCTTGGGTTATATTTATAATCTTGTTGAAATTCAAGGAAGGAAACAGAAAAACTGATTTTCTACCTCCTATGCTTTAGCAACAACTTCACCGGAATGGACAGAATGGATGTGGTAAGTTTTTGAAATGGTGCCAATAAGTACCTACGTAGCGTTCAAACACTACAGTGTGGTGGGATGACTGGGTGCTCTTCAGTTGCTTACTTGAAATTATTACTTTATTTAGAATGTTTGTTCAAAGTGTTTTATGGCCAGGTAACCTGTAGCCTTTTTTTCAACCACAGTTATTCTAGAAAATTAAGCTTAATGCCTTAAGACATCCACTGTTTAGGGTCGGCCAATACTAGCTGTATGACATCCCCCGAGGGTCCTGGATTGTGAGAGGGTGCAGGCCAGGCCGAGGGATCCCAGCGGTGTACAATAATTAATTTATCTCCAATGTATCACTAATGGGACAAGTACCGTTGTTGGGAGAACTGAGAAATAGTCACCTGAATAATTTTGTGAATCCTGTTGTTCAAATAAGGAGCCCTGGTTGAGAAAGCCTGGATGGTGATACTGATGTGGTTATTGGTTTACTCTCTGTATCACTGAATAAGAAGGGCTATTGGATCCTGAGAATCCATGACACAACAGAGCCAGGACTAATCATTACTATATACGAATTCAACAGTATATTGAATATATACTAAAATTGTTCTTTAAGGTAAATATTTCCCCTTAGTTAGATATAAGAAAAACAAAATGATCGGGGCCGGCATTGGGCGCTGGTAAAGGGTGCGAGTGGTGGCTCTGGTGCTGGCAGTGGGTATAAGTGGGGCCGGTGCAGGCAGCAGGTGCAAGTGCCAGATGGGACTGTGGTGCAAAAACTTTTCAGTAACCACCAAAGGCTTGCCCAAGATGACAGCCACCGACACCCTGCCTTGGTCTGGCACCCCTACTCACCTGCTCTACCATCCCACCATGGCTGACATCCGCCATGTTCCACATGTGCTCCCTGGTGATCAGCATGTCATAGCTAGTTGTTCCGTTGTTATGTTGTTTAGTCTATTTGCATAGTAGGGTTTTGTATATATAGATAAAAGGCTAATATGTAAATCAACTGACCAGTGGAATGACTGGTGCTATGATGCCCACTGACCACCAGGGGGCAGACGCTCAATGCCAGAGCTGCCTCCTGGTGATCAGGGTGCTCCCACAGGGGGAGAGCTGCCCAGTCAGAAGTGGGACTAAGCCATCAGTCAGACATTCCCTGAGGTCTCTGGGACTGTGAGAGGGCGGAGGCCAGGCTGAGGGAAACCCCTTCCTCCCCCAGTACATGAATTCCATACAACGGGCCTCTAGTCCTTATATAAGAAAGACAACCTAATAGTCACTTCTGTATATAAAAAACTATTCTTAGAAAAAAGTTGAAAAAAGAAAGCACTGTAAAAATTTTATTCATCCTGAGTGAAATTTAAGAACAGGGGAAATATAAAGATGTGAAATAATAGCTATATAGCCATAATCCTTACTACTAGGATAATTCTGGCAATACTAGATCTAACCCATGATAAGAGGTGGATAGTAAACTCACCAGAGGTGTAAAATATTTATCAGGCTAAAAATTAACCAGTCTACCGTCTCCTAAAAAGGAGATTCTGGGTTAGGTCATCTCCAGGGGACCACACCAAGGGGCAGTGTGCACCTCTTCTGTGGATGCCTTTAACTTGATCAGTTATGGTCCTCATGGCTACTGGGCTTTCCTACCTGAGTGATTACATTTTCCTCCTTTATGTCCATTGTTGGCAGTCAGTCCTCCCATTCTCCTCCATGTAGCTTATTCCATTTAGTACCCATTACAGTCTGGCCTACTTTCACCTATTACTTTCACCTACAGTCTGGCCTATTTTCACCTATTTTTTTATTATTCATGATAAGGCTATAAATAGAAAAGCAGTTGGGAGTCTAAACTGAAGACAGTGTATATTAATATTTTTGAAGATGATCTAGGCATAGAAAAATAACATGAAAATATCTAACTAATGTACCTTTCAATTCTCTTCTTGTTTTCCTCCATTTTTTGATTTGCTGTCTCTAATAGGAAGTCGATATATTCCTCTGTCACCATCAGTTTTCCCTTATGGCTTAATGGAACTTCTAAGCCATGTGTGCTCCGGACAGCCTACAAGGAACAAGCAAGTCAGACATGATGACTCATGCCCTAGAGATACTGAAGATAGCTAAAGAAAATTCCAAGTTAGGGTTGTGTTTAAACATAGTTTAGCTCCATTACAGCATTTAGGCTTGTGCTTTGATATAAGTTAGCTAATCACAGTTGGATCACAGGAGATTAAATAGATTTTCCCTTCATGTAAAGTCATTTCTAAAGAAATTCATTCTATACATTGTTTTTCAGAGAAGCAGATACTATCAAAAAATCCAATAACTTTAACAGTTTCAATTTCACTATAGCTTAGAAAGCTATAATAGACTATTTAAAGAAAAGAAATAAATGAAATCTCAACAGAAGCTTCAAGGGAAAATCAAAATGGACTAGATTTGAAAGAGCCTCTTAGTGCTGCCTGAGTGGAGTGAGGTTATAAGAATAAGCCATGCCTGTTCTATCTCACAAAGTGGTTGCTTTCTCGATTCTTTAGGGCCAACCTTTGTAACCCTGTTGATGAAATAGTTAGCATGGTACAGGCAAATCCAAACACTGGATATAGATTAAGAACTACAACCAAAACTATCATGAGGAATAAAAATTATTTCAATGAAACTTTACTGAGCATTTGCAATGTAGGCTCTATGTAAGATGTGAAGATACAGGATGAATATAACATGGTTCTTTTAAAAGCTTACACTTTAGAATAGAACATAAACAAGTGAACAAAAAATTATAACACGAAATAGGCGCTATGACAGGAGAAACACAAACCTGTCCGGCCACGTGAACTTGAGCGCGCACACAAACAAACATTGCAGAAATGTGGAAGAGATACAACTAAGTGAGACAGGCCTCAGTTTCATGGGAAGGTGGCATTTGAGTTGGGATTTTTATGTTCAGTCTCTTCCCGCTTGAGTTGGGATTTTTAAATGTAAGTTCAATTTCACCACATGTAAAATGGGGGAGGAACAACTTATCTGCAGTTATGGAGACATGACAGAGCATGATACATTTTTTTATTTGGCTGGAACGTAAGTATGCTAGCAGAAGAGCATAAACAAGGCAGATGGAAAGTGGTTTGGGTAAGGCCTTGAAGATCAGGGAAAATATTTGGAGATCCTCATTTTTTCAAAAGGATTGACAGTACTGGTTGGAAAGACTGAAGAAGATGGACAGCAGGAAGATTAGTCAGGAGACCACTGTAAAGACAGGTGAGGGGCACTGAGGACTTAAGCAGAAGCAATGACAGAGGGCTTGGAGAGGTGGACTCAGGTGTGAGAAATAAGAGGCAGATGTGACAGAACTTTTAACTAACTGAATATGAAAGACAAAGGAGAGGAAGGTAGAACGGCTGTTCTTGCTAGGTCACCAGATGCAACAGGGAATGAGATGGGGACACGAACCCGTACTATGGGCTTTTCAAGTTAGTCATGCTTTAGAGGGGTTTTCTTTTTCCTCTAAATTCAATATATATATATATATATATATATATATATATATAGAGAGAGAGAGAGAGAGAGAGAGAGAGAGAGAGAGAGAGAGAGGAAGAGAAAGGGAGAAATAAATATTGATGTGAGCATGCACATGGATTGCCTGCTTCCCACTCTCCTGCCACCAGGGACCAAATTCACATGATAGAAAATAGAAAAGTCTAGGGAGCTAGAATGGAGGACAATCTGAAACGAGTTCAACAGCAAATAACACATGTCCTGCCAAACAATAAATACAATCAGTAAATATTGTAGCAGATCAGAATAAGGCAAAATCACCAGGGGCTAACTTGGCCAGGAAAAGACTAAGAGAGGATGTGGAGCTTAGAAGGCACCTTAAAGATTATCCAGTCCACGGGTTAGCAAACTTTTTCTGAGAAAGGACAGATAGTAAACATTCTCAACTTTGTGGACCATATAGTATCTGGCATAGCTACTCAATTTCACCACTGTAACACAAAAGCAATCTTAGACAGTAATTAATCAAATTGGTGTAGTGGGATCTGACATGCCTATGGGCTGGACTTGGCCTGAAGGCAGTAGTGTTTGGGACCCCTGGTATGGCTGAGAAAATTCAGGCCCCAAGGGAGCTTACCCAAGTCCGTATTGCATAGCCCGGGGACAGCCAGTATTAGTGCAGAAGACTTTAGATCCCCTGTCTGTGATTCTTTCCATGATATCATGGTGCTTATTAAACTGGGGCTATTTAAGACGAGGAAGGCACAGAGAATCAGGATAAAAGTAGAGGAATATACAGTACTATGAAATAAGACCGCAAATGTACATGTAATATCAACTTTGCCCTGTAGGAATAATTAAGTCACTGAGGGTTTCTGACCAAGGGAATGGCAAGAAGATCTGGGTGAGGAGATACTAAAGGCAGGAGTCTAAGTAGAAGTCTAAGTTATTTCAATAATCTGGATCACTTCATGCTCAAAGAATTGCTTTTTGCCAAAAGGTATCTTACCAACATAGTCTTTCCTCTCTTTCCGACTGTTATGCCAGAGTTCCTGAAACCAGAATCTATCGCCACTGAATGCTGTAAGAAAAGAAATTTGTTAGATTCTGATAACCTGACTAATCAGACAAACTGTTAAGCTCTACAAACTTCAGAAACATAACCCCAAATGTATAATTAAAAACTACTTGATTAAACTACTGCATTAAATTTGGTAGGAGTTACAAGGCTTAAGATTAAATCTACCCACATACCAATAAATTCAAGTATAATTACAAAGTTTTACCAGAATCTGTGCATCCTGCAACTCTCGACACTGTACATGAAGAATAAGGGGTTCAAATTTCAAAATGGCATCCCCATTCGCTTTTTTCAGAGCTACAATCTAAATAAATAAGTAAATAAGTAAATGTTAGTACCAGACACATATATATGATCCTCTTCTTTTGAACCCGGGGACTTTTAGATTCTTTCAGCATTCTGTTCCAGAAATAACTTTTCATTCTGCTTTCTTGTTCCTTTCTCCAAAAACTTATTAATCTGCTTATTCTTTTAAAAGACTTGATTTCTAATTTTCCCATATACTTCCTGTGTTATTCTTTCCAAAAATGTTTTACAAAAGTCAACTATGACTGTATTTAATTCCATAATAGATTTTTTCATTAAGGTCTGTTTAAATACTTGTTAGACAGAAGTTGGACTGTTATGTCTGAGCTACAATTTGTATAAGGTGGTTACGTATTTCTGTCTGCCTAGTATTCCTGGGCAACATCTTCTCTCTTTCACACGGGACTATTAACAATGGCCCTGTCACTCAGCACTCCCACTATCACATCAGAGATGCCAAGTGCCTAGGTCTGATCAAGGATAGCACTCCATTCTGTTGGCAAAAATAACTGATCTCGGGAAGGTTTGGAGTCCTTTGGGAATGAATCTTCTGAAGTCTTTTTCTGCTGGGGTTGCTAGTAGCTAACTTTCCTGACACAAAGATAATCTGTAGCAGAAGATAATAAGGACAAATATACACAAAGAATTAGTACCCAAGGAAGGAGATGGACGTTGAATGAGTACCCATAAGACAACATTTGAGCACCTGAACCAGTAATGTATGTGCTTAATACAAACTTATATGAACTCATCTAAACATTTCAATTTAGGCAACTAGATAATCCAGCTTGATACAAAAATTTTCAAGAAGCAATTCAGGTAATGTATAATTTATATAAGAATAATGGTAATCTATATATATACAAGCCTAAGCGACTGAATGACTGGTCGCTATGATGCGCACTGACCACCAGAGGATAGACGCTCAACGCACAGGATTGGGCTCCCTCCTGTCTGGATAGGGTCTGTGGGGAGTGGGCTGAAACTGGCTCTCTGACATCCCCTGTGGGGTCCTGGATTGCAAGAGGGCACAGGCCAGGACAAGGGACCCCACTGGTGCACAAATTCATGCACCAGTGCTCTAATACATAGATAATGCTAATGACTTATTCCTGGCTCCCTTCTTCCCTTTTCCTTCCATGATTTGTACGAGTTACTGAATCATAAAATACTGAAATGAAATTTAACCTTTGGATCCAATATGTGTCCAATGTCCATGAACTCTCTGCTATGTCCCAGAGGATTTGTTGTGTTGAACGGCCATAGTAATGCTTGGATACATATTTTTACTTTTATCTCCCACAACTCAGAGAAGCCATCATAATGAATTCTCTTTAGGTTTTATGAATAATATTGTCATTATAATTATGCACAAAAATCACCTTTAATTTTCTATTTTCATCTGTATTTAAAGTGACTGTGAATTAAAAGGTGTGATTTCTTTAAATTTCTATCTAAACACTTACCACATCATCTTTGACACAAGGCTTGTGTGTAACTAGGAGCCAGCAACAGTTTTGTTTCTGAACCTCAAAGCCATTTATATTCTAAAATTAAAAATAACATAATTTAACGTAATCATACATTTATAAAAATAGTTAAGTACAGTGACTACATAACATACTGTAGGCTTTCTTAAATTAATAATTCCAAGTGGTGATTTTTAAATTAATTATCTCATTTTCTCTACACCAGTGATTTTCAACCTTTTTCATCTCATGGCTCACATAAACTACTAAAATTCTGCAGCACACACACAGAAAAAAATAATTGTATTTTTTGTCAATCAGAAAGAACAACCACCAGGTGTAATTTTGATTCATTCACACCGATGGCTATTGTTGTGTTGGCTGTTGTCACTTTTGTACTTAATAACCTAAGGCCGTGGTTGGCAAACTGCAGCTCGAGAGCCACATGCAGCTCTTTGGCCCCTTGAGTGTGGCTCTTCCACAAAATACCATGGCCTGGGCGAGTCTGCTTTTTAAGAAGTTGCGTTAGAAGTTTAAGTTTAAAAAATTTGGCTCTCACAAGAAATTTCAATCGTTGTGCTGTTGATAGTTGGCTCTGTTGACTCATGAGTTTGCCGACCACTGACCTAAAGGAAAAGAGGTCAGTACCCCTCTTTTAAAGAGTCAGGGCTTGCATGTTTTAAAAATCATTGCGGTACACCAGTAGCTGCTCTGCACAAAATCCCCGCGGAGCTCATGCTCTTTATTATCCTCACTTCATGACACAGGGAAGGGTGAGTTTAGATGACTGTCCTAAAGTCACGCAGCCAGGAATCCCCATGATCGGGTTAGAAGCTACCCAGTACTATGCCAGGCCTGTCTGACAATTCACCACCTTCTCACTCTGGACGCCCTGCTTCCTCGGGGTGTGATGACGGGGCGGCCGCCAGGGGGCAGTGAACACCTGAACCCTGGCCGCTCTCCTTCCGGTCCGCAGGCCCCGGTGGAGCCGGCGGCTGGGCCGGGCGGGAGTCTTTCCGTTCCCTTAGATCTCAGAAAGTCCCACTCCTCAGCCCGTGCACCTCCAGCTCACTCCCGGCCTGCAGCCTCGGGGTCATGTGGGGTCTGTTAGAATGGCAGACTATCAGGGCCCGCGCAGCACCTGCAGAATCAGACTGTGGACTTTTAAAAGCTCTCCAGGTGACTCACACACAGACACATCCACGTCTTGGAGGCCCCGGTCTAATTCAGCCTCTAAATGTCATCGACAAAGAAACCGAGACCGCCCACTAGGACACACACACACACACACACAGGCTGCCCTGGGGTGTCGCACGGGGTGGGCACCGGGCTCCTGGCGCTCCCACCACCAGGCAGGCGCCCGGAGGGGCACCAGGCAGGCTCACCCCATCCAGGAGGAGGATGCGCCCGGCGCAGGAGCTGGTGGTAAAGAACTGCTCCTGCCCATTCAGGAGCTGCACGAGCTCAGCCACGTCCTCGTCCACACTGCCCTTCCGGCTGAGGTCCGCTTTGCTCAGGCACTGCGCCTTCCACCTACGGAACTCCGCGCCGCGATCCATGCGGGGAGGGATCTGGGGCCCGCACTCCCCCGGCGGCTTCCGCTTTCCCTGGGGGCAGCCATATTGAAGGCGGGTGCCGGGAAGGGCCAAACTTCCTCGGCGCCGCGCGTTTGGGAGGCCGTCCCCTGGGGGCGGGGCGGGGCGGGGCGGAGCCGGGGGCGATCGCTGGGGACGGCAGGGCCCGCCCCCTCTTCTGCGGAGTCTGGGGGGCCCCGGCGGGTTGGGTTCCCCGCGTTAGAACCGGTAAGTGGTTTCACACAGCGCCCGGGAGGCTCGGGCTGCGCGCCTGCCTCCCGGGCAGGAGCTCCTCGGGAGCTGGCTTGTCTCTGGTCCCTGCAACCGCAGGGCCCCGCGCTCCGAGCTCCGTCTGCAGGGCCTTCCTCCAGCTTTCCCAGCGGGTGTGCCATCTTCCTTTTGGAGAGGAATGTGTGGTTTGATTTTTGTTCGTTTGTTTGTTTGTTTTTGCCTTTTTCCTCCGGTCGCCTCCCCCTAGAATAATCTTCAAAGGCAAAAAAAAAAAAAAAAAAAAAAAAAAAAAAAAGTACAAAACACCCTTTGCTCTGGCTTTGTAAATAAACACACGGTTGGATGTTTACCCCGTCCCCCCAGGAGCCTTGACCAGGGAGGGGTGTTAATGATTGAACCATTGAGGGGTTGAAGTTTGTTTGGACTGTCTGTCCGAAGCTAGTGGAGTGGCTGGGGGAAGGCCTGGCAGCAGCAGCAGCAAACCCCAGGAGCTCAGCTCCCTGAGGCTGCAGGGCAGGTATTCCGCCTTCCCACCTGAGAGCCTGGAGGTAGGGGGAAAGTGGAGGAGGGGTTAGAATTGTCCCTTAGTAATTCCTCCTCCCCCCTCTCCTGCCCCAAAGTGAGCTCCCAGGTCCTGGCCTGAGCCCACCCGCCAAGGTCACAGCCAGGAAGAGACCTATCCTTGGCCACTTCTAACTTTTTAAAATTTCTTCTGGGTTAGGAATAAAAAATAACAGGCTTACATGAGTCATTCTTTTTAAAATTTTATTTGTATGTATTTGTATTGAGGGGAGGGAGAGATAAAAACATCAATGAGTAAATAATTGATTGGCTCCTTCCTGTAATCCCCTCAATGGGGATGAAGCAGTAAACTGGGCACATCCCCTAACACCCTGTCCTATATCCTATATAATAAAAGCCTAATGTGCAAATTGATCTAATGGCCAAAGGACTGGTTGCTATGATTCACACTGACCACCAGGGAGCAGACACTCAAAGCAGGGGCTGCCCTCTGTGGTCAGTGGGCTCTGGGGAGTGCCCTTCAGCCAGCAGTAAGGAGCAAGGGGGTAAGGAAACAGGCAGTAAGGAGCGAGGTGGTCCAGGGCTGTGAGAGGGATGTCTGCTGCTTTAGGCCCAACCCTCCCTTGACATTCAACCCAGGGGGATCAGGCCTAAGCTGGTAGGCCGACATAACCTGAGGGGTCCAGGACTCTGAGAGATTGCAGGCTGAACTGTGGGGCTGGGCCCACTCCCCAACTCTCCCTCTCCCCAGTTCTGAAATCTCATGCACTGGGTCTCTAGTTATATAATGATTATCTTCCCAAGATTTTGTTTTGTTTTTTATTTCTTGCCTAAAAATTTTAATTTCTTGCCTAAAATTAATGTTACTTCTGTTTTTCTCTCATAATGTGCCTTTGCTCTGGCTTTGTAAATTGACCATGTTAAAATAGATTTCTACATTTTCTCTACCACTTTACTTTTCATTTAAACCTAATGGATTCAAGTGTTGCATGGAGAAGATCACTGCCTCCAGAGTCTCCCAGTCCTATCAGTCCCCCAGCCCCCCAGGGCTGCCCTAGGCACAGGCAAGCATTGGATGGCAGCTACCTAGCCACCCAGGGCCACCCGAGGCTCAGGTAACCAGGGCTGGCTGAGCTTGTGCTGCCAGCAATGGCAGCAGCAGAATGTGATGTGGGTATCACCTTCACCTGATTGCCTGGGTCGCCTCCCACCCCTGAGGGCTCCTGGACTATGAGAGGAGGCAGGCTGGGCAGAGGGACAACCCCCTCCAGTGCATGAATTTTCATGCACCGGGCCATTATATATATATATATATATATATATATATATATATATATATATATATATTAACTTCAGAGAGATAGGAAGAAGAAGAGAGAGAGAGAGAAATCAATTATGAGAGCGAATCATTGATTGGCTGCCTCCTGCACACTTACACTTAAGATTGGGCCTGCAACCTGGGCATGTGTCCTGACTGGGAATCAAACCATGACCTTCTGGTTCAAAGATTATCATTCAACCACTAAACCATGTCAGTTGGGCCAAATTTCACATTTCTAATCGTCTGTCTCACTATCCTCATAATACAGTACATTCCTAAGAAATTAAGGGTCCTCTCCGCAAACATTTTAAAAAGTGAGAGGAAAAGGATTGTATAGTAAGAAAATAAAAGCATCCAGCAAAATTTAGGACATGTTACTTGGGTTCTACCTTTATCTCCGTGTGACCTTGGTGAATCTCTTAACCTCTTGGAGTAGTTTCTCATCATTTCATACAATTAAGTGCTGGTTTTAGTAACCATTGCTTCTCTTCCTATTGTGGAAATAATTATATCAATGGACGTGAAACATGTGCTTTTGAGAAGAAGAAAGGTATTGCGGGGGCTTAAGAATTATAACAATTTCAATTTGTGCCCTGTGTTATTTCATTCTTTTTATTATACCTTCTGACATAGCACTGTATTATGAAGTAGATCATCATCCTGTGAGTAGCTGAGGGTGTTCAAAGGCAAGGAGTACAGACTGGAGCCTGATCAATCATAGTGGCAAAAGCTCAGCGGGAAATAAGATGGCCAGAAGCAAAGTGGAAGACAGAGATGTCAAGGTCATGCCTGTCTCCTTACCGGCACCACAGGATAATGTGATAGTTTTGGACGAAGCAGGGTATCTTCTAAATCCAGTATTAAGGATGAGTCTCCGCCTTACTTTGTTCTTTTCTCCCAATTTAGAAAATGTCAAAATGTGGAGGGGAAAAATGTACGTGCTAGATATTTTTGACAGATTCTATTTCAGGGTAATTTTGCTTTTATTATTGCTACAGTTTTTTGAGGATAATAGTGATGTCTGTTGGTGAAAAGATAAATGCGAGTGCATGAAAGAAATGAATAGGTAGAAGTGAGTAGATACTGGAAGTGGAAAAAGCGCTACAAATCTTAGCCATTGTGTGTGTACATGGGAGGGAGTGGGAGTGAGCAGGGATGGGGAGGGGCCAAGGCATTTCCTCTCAGTTCTTTGTGTTCTCTGAGTTTAGTACAGAGCCTCCCTAACGGTTGATGCTAAAAACAAACAAACAAACAAAAAAACATGTTGAATGAATAATGACCAATATTTGGTATTAATGTTTAGCTTAAATCATTCTCTAGACTCTCTGAACTCTGAAGCTAAGGACTTGGTTTTACAACTAGAATCCATGTAAATATTATTATAGTAAATCAATGGTGATTATAGAAAGGAGGAAATAGATGGGAAAGGAATAATGGTGTCTTCTATACATAGGAGTAAACCTCAGCCAGGTTCTGTACTTGGTGCTTGCCACGTCTCTAGCACAGTAAAAGTTTTCAGATTAAGAGGCTCAAAACACTTGGCTGCCCTGCCCAAGACTACATGGCTAGTGGACGATAGAGCTGGGGTTCATGCTAAGAGCTGTCAGATTTCAAAGCCCACACTTTCCCTAACACCTTGCTGAAGGCAGAAAGGAAGAAAGAAAGTGGTATTCTTATTTTCAGAATGGTAAACTCTGATCTAGGCAATCTTTTTTTTTTTTTTTCCTGTTTTATTTATTTTTTAATAATTATTTTTGTCTAAGAAATACTCAGCTTAAGTGAAGATGGAAATACAGTAGTGAGGCTGTGGAGTAAGCTCAGGTCTTCTCACCTTCAGGGACTGCTTAGTTGCCCCACCAGGCTCTTAAATTTGTTTCTTTTGCCTGCTTCTGCCCCTTTTAATTTGAGGGTTGTCTTTCGGGATATATCATTGCTAAACAACCTTTCAGCAATGGAAGTGTTCCTTTCTTCTCTGTGCTGGGTACTATGTTAAATCATTTTATTTTTTTTTTCATTTTTTAAATTAAATTATCTGTGTACATATATGTTAAATCATTTTAAATAAAGGTTTTTCAATGATGCAACTTTAGACTAATTATACTTAGAGCTTTCCATTAAGAACACTAAAAGAATGTTGTTGTTTTTTTTATTTAAATTCTTTACTGTTTAATGTATTACATAAGTCTCCTCTTTTTTTCCCATTGACCTCTCCATTCCTGCCCTCCCTCCATACATGGGATGACATTTTGTAGTCAGCATGGACTCTGTTCTGAGTAACCCTGTGTTGAACTTCCATTCAGGAAAAGTCTGAATTCTTTCATCTCAAGTTCTAGTTTCTGCAACTCTGTTTTAAAACTTTAAGTTTTCTTTTCATCTTAATGTTAGCAGTGGTAGGCCAGAAAGGTTAACTGTAAATTACCCTTGTAATTTATTAAAGATGGCAGTGTTTTTAGTTTTAAATGTTTTTCCTCCTTTGTTAAACTGACTGAACTTCATAAAGCAAAGTGTTTTAGCGTTGATAAATACCAAAAATGTAATGCTAAGAGCAGAAAGCAAGTTGCAGAATTAAGTACAGTACAATCTAACCTAAAGAAATTTTGAAAACATGCAAAAACAATAGCATATATTGCTTGGCAATGCGTTCGCAAGTAGTAGTGAGATAACATCATGCCTGGGAAGATGAGCACTGAGTTTGTGGTAATAGTTACATCATTATCTTGTGGAAGGGTAGGACAGAAGTGTGTTTGCGGATGGGTACTGGAGGCTTCAGTGATATCTATAATGTTTTAGGTTTTTAAAATGTTAAGACTTGTTAAAGGTGGGTGGCAGGTGAATGTGCTTATTGTATCTTTTATATTTCTTTATGTATTTGAAATAATAATCTAACAAGAGAAGATCTCTCTAATGCTAATAAAACTTGCACAAACTTCTAAAACGTCCAGGATGTTGCAGCCCACGCTTACACACAAGGACATTTATGATATTCATGATGCTATACCTATCCAGATGTTTTTGTGTGCATGTTGATTCCCTTGTTGAAGGCATTGAATTTCTACAAGAAGTAACATTTTGCTTTGTAGCCGAAGGATTTGTGAGATGAAAGGTGTTTAAACATGAAATGAGATCAGTAGTCATCTTGTGATTTAAATTGTTATGAAAAATTGTTTGATCTAACCCCCGGGTAGGGGAGGGGGGACATAGTGATAGCTTAGATACAATAGAACAATAGATTAATATTTTTTTCTTAGTCTCTAGATCACTATGGCAACTGGACAGAAGTTGATGAGAGCTATTAGAGTTTTTGAATTTGGTGGACCAGAAGTGCTGAAATTCCAGTCGGATATTGCAGTACCAATTCCAAAAGACCACCAGGTGGAAATAATAACTTTTAAAAAGTAAAAAATTACAGAGTATGAGCCTCTAGCACATCACGTTAATATTCAAAAGAAGCAGACTCACAATGATTATGAAGACATTGAATTAGGACAAAGTTTACATTGTTTACATCTATGATCTCTGACAAAGATAACGTAATTCTGATAATTAGTGGAGCAGATATATGAAGAGCAATAACATCTTGTTATAAGTGTTTTTAGAGGTTCACAATCATCTATGCAGTGCAGTAGTTGGATTTTTCTGAATGGAGTCCTAAGTAGTTTTGAATAGCTATGCTTTTACAAACTTTCCCAATTTTTATTTTGTGTACAATAGGAAACCCATTTTCTCCTGCATGTTTGCTTTTCACATATGCTTCAATAGAATTTAAATATAGAGCTTAATCATTTCCAATAACTTTTAACAATATACCTTTTTGATAAAGATTATGTATTTTTATTACTATACCTTCCATGTTTCCTGAGTTTAATTTCCTTAGCAAGCCTTCTGAGAGTTTTTACAATTTGGCCAAAACCCATTTTTTTAATAGGTTTATCTCTTTTCGCTCCTTCTCAATAGATTGTACTGTAACAACATCAAGCTTTACCCGGTTTCTCCCGTAGGCCTTTTCATTCCTTCTGTCTTTGCACATAATAGTCCTTTAACTTGAAATAACAGTTTTCTCTAAATCCCAGAGAATTTCTAGTGATTCTTTAAGGCCTAGTGCAAGTACAACATCCTTTCAAATGCCTTCCCTTACTCTGACAGCAGAAGTAATTTTGTACCAGTTAAGATAAAGTAAGCTTCTATAATAGCAGTAAACTCAAAATCTCAATGAGTCAACAGTATAAAATTATTTATTATTCACTAAATTCCAGAATTCTACAATATTGGTGAGTCACTCTCCTCCAACAGTGATTTGAAAACCCAGGCTTCCTCCATCATGTTCCTCTGCCACTTTCAGCACCTGTCTTCGGAGTCACATGAAAGGGCAGAAGCACATGGATTGTCTTTATGGGTCAGTGGAAGTGGCTCTCATCTCTTTGGTTCACATTCCCTTGGCTAGAACTCAATCATGTGGCTACTCATCACTGTAAATGAGCCAGGAAATAATGTTCTTCCTATAAACCCAGGAGGAGGAAATAGATTTGATGAACACATAGATGTCTCTGCCACACATCCCTCAAATATTTCCATCACTATTTTCTCAGAATGTTTTTAATGTGTCTTAATAGAATTTTTTTTAACATGGGTTTGCAAAGCTGGAATGTGAGCTCATGGAAGCCAAGGTTTTCCCCTCCAGTGTTATAGCTCCCATAATCATGACAGCCCTAGCATAGTGCCCGAACAGTCTGTGTAAACAGTCTGTGTAAGCTACACTGTGTTCTAGTGAAAAGCCTGCTCAGATTGGCCAGAGTCAGAGAGGCGGTCTATTAAAAAAAGAACTGGTGTTGCCTTGGAAGTGGGGGGTAGTCTTATACAGCGAATATCGGCCTAAACCTATGTTTTAACTGTAAAATTAAGGGGTCGTCTTATATGGTACATTGTCTTTGCAGGTTCTCATCAAAGTCCATGCATGTGGTGTCAACCCGGTGGACACATACATTCGCTCTGGTTCTTATAGTAGGAAACCACTCTTACCTTATACTCCTGGTTCAGATGTGGCTGGAGTCATAGAAGCTGTTGGAGAAAATGTATCCGCTTTCAAGGTATTACAATTTTTTGTTATTTCCATTTTAATATTTTTCCTTAAAATATTTTAACATACTTTTTAAATGTGTCTGTATTTAAGTCTTTAAAAAGGCCCCATTACACCATTTTTGCCACTTGGGGGACTCCTCTAGTAACAAAAGAAATTATCTTTTCGCCAGCGGCCCAGTTTCTTTGTATTGTTGGGAATAAGTGCAAGGTCATTTCTATATCTTCACATCCCCACAGAAATAAACGGTGAACCTTTTAATTTAACAGGAATATGAAAGGGGGAAAATCATACTATTTCCTAACTCTTGCTAATACACAAACCAACATATTTTAAATACTTTCTCTAATAGCTTAACAAAGTAAAGAGAATGCTAATAATAAGTAAAAATGAAAAACTGCAAGGTCACCATACATTTCCTGAGCTCTGACTCAGAACAAGGTGATGGAGTCAATGAAAATGTTATGATCAGGGCTTTGTTATTTATTTTCTAAAAGATTTTTAAAGCAGAGAGCACATATTCATGTTCTAGCATCTTTCCTCATAACTCCTTGACCTATCCGAAATTGGACTGAGACAGAGAAGATTAACGTGGCCCCTGAACGGAAGGCAGGCAGATGCCTACAGCTTTCCACTCCTCAGCCCTGGCAATCTGGCTTCTGCCCCCATCGCTCCACTAAAATGATTCTTGCTAATGTCACTAATAGCATCTATACTGCTGGAGTTAATGGGCCCTTTTATGTCATTATCTCTCTTGACTTTTCTGTGACATTTGACACTCTCAGTCACTTACTGTTTCTTAAAAAAACTTTTTCTACAGCTTCTATGACATCATCACTCCCGTTCTACCCCCGCCCTTCCTTTCGGAGCCTCCTTTTTCAAGCCTTGCTTTCTCTGGATGCTTCTCAAATCTTGGTTTGCTCAGTGCTCCCCTGTCCATACTTACACCTCCGCTGTTTGGGTTTTATACCTTCTTCAAGATGATCTCATGTACACCCACATTTTCCATATTACATGGATATCTCTTGCTTAGAATTTTCTTTTTTAATATAAAATTTTTCTAAATTTTTAAAATATATTTTATTGATTTTTTTACAGAGAGGAAGAGAGAAGGATGGAGAGTGAGAAACATCGATGAGAGAGAATCATTGATCAGCTGCCTCTTGCGCACCCCCTACTGGGGATGTGCCGACAACCAAGGTACATGCCTTTGACCAGAATCAAACCCGGGACCTTTCAGTCCTCAGGCCAAGGTGCTATCCACTGAGTCAAACGGGTTTCGGTATAATTTTTCTAAATTTTTTTATTGAGGCAGTCTTTTAAGCTCAATCAAATACTAATCACATAAAAGAACTATTTCCTATCTATAATAATAAAAGTGTATATGCTAATTAGGCTAGATGGCTGAACAGCTGAACAACCATCTGGACAACCTTCCAGATGACCTTCTGGCGAAGCCAGGGTTGTGAGGGCCGAGCCCCTTGCACATTTCTTGCAACGGGCCTCTAGGTCTTACATAAAGAGGCATGTCCAATCTCTTAGGTAATGAACATTTTCCTAATATTTAGTCTCCTTTTAAAAAAAATTATTTTGTATTAGTCAAACGCTTTTCTTTATTTTTCAATTACAGTTGACATTCAGTATTTCATATTAGGTTAGGTTCAGCTTTATAGCATAGTGGTTAGACATTATAAAATTTTAAAAATGATGCCCCCATAGGTCTAGCTACTAAGCTCCGGACCAGTGGTGTCCAATGTGGTAGCCACATTTAAATGGCTAATGGCTACTGAAAATTCAAATGTAACTTAAAATAAAATAATCCGTTCCTCAGTTACACTAGCAGCCTGTTCAGAGCGCACTGGTCCAGTGTGTCTGGCTTTCCTGTTGGGCGTGTAGGAGAGCGCAGGGCACCCACTTGGTCCTCCTCCAGAACTGCTTACTCCGTGTGTCTAAATCTGAGCTTGTCTTCTCACTTCATCTCTGCTCCTTTCTCGGATGACTGTCTTAGTGACTTCTCAGGTTTTAGGCTTATCTCTTCCTCTCCCTCACTCAGTTCTCCTTTATTAGAACTGTTTTCTCTCTCTTTCTGTTCCTCCTCTCTGTAGTTTAGTTTAGGTTGTCTTATGTAGGCCCTTACCTGGGTTTCGATAATAGACACATACCTTACCACTCTCCCTCCTTCCTCTTTGAATCTGTCCTTGCTCTGTAAGGGGTGTATTCTAAAATGTAATTCTGATTGTTTCACAGTTAATTATTGTATTTGTTTAGTGTAGATTTTAGGGTATTGTTGAAACAGCTTAGGTTATTTTTATGCTCTCTCTCCCACCTCTCTTTTCATTCAGATTATCTCCATTCATCTCTCCCCGAGTTTAATAATTTTTTGTTGTTGTTGTTCTCCCCTACGTAGCCCATGATCTTTCATCTCTGTGTCTTTATTCATATTGAATCTTCTGTCTGGCAGAACTAAACTGAAACTTATAAACATGGGTTCAAGGGATTTCACACTCCAGCTTTTATTTAGTTTTATCTAACTATTGCACTCCATACATTAGACTACTTATTTATTAGGAATGAATACTGGCTTTGTTTTTCCTGCCACTATTCCTTTACTTTGTTTCCTTCACCCATAATGACTTTTCCCAATACTAGTTTCAATTATTTTCCTTTCCTTCAAAAACTACCTCAAATATTAACTTCTTAATAAAGGTACTCTTGGTTCTCTCAACTTAGAAATAATTCCTTTCTTTTTCTTGTATATGTCTTTGTTGGCTCAGTATGTTTACCTTACTTTGTAATTATTTCCATGCTATTTATTTTTCTCTCTTCCTAGGGTGTAAGATGTTTGAGATTAAAGAGAGTGTCTTGCTGCTAAGATCTTTTGCAAAAATCAAAGTACTGCTTTCAATATAGTGGATTCTTAGTAAATGTTTGAATTTTGTTAAAATTAATGCAACATGTTTTTAAGCTGTAAAAACAAGATTAATCTTAACCTAGTCATACTTGACCATTTACAGGCAACACTACTAAGCAGCAATGCTTGTCTTTGACTCCTAGGTGCTTTTTGAATCTTTCTTGTTTATACCCCACTGCACATTGCTGTTACCTTTTCAGACTTCTTAATTGGAGGGCAAATTTAAGTATATTGAGAGTTACTGCTTTAAGGTTTTGCTTATTTCTTTTTTCAAGAAAGAGAAGTTAGGGCAGGGGTTTGTAGTGGCAGTCTCATTCCCTACGTGCAGGTCATACTGGGCAGTCCTCTGACGCTTATCTAGCGCCTTATCTCACCCTCCTTGGTGCATCTGCTCTTCAATAGTAAGGGCCTCACGGACACTTACAGTATTTAGAGTTTGTTGTTCCTGGGCTGTGGCAAGTGAAGAAGCCTGTCCTGGCTCATCCTCTGTCAGGATCCAGGCATACTGGCCTGCTTTTGGTTGTAAGCATAACAAGTGGAGGAAATGCAGGGGTGAAGAAATCTATGGAAAGGATTTAGCACAGGTAGTTGCCGTGTGGAAGAAACCTTTTTATTTGTTTCTTCTCCATAGTATTTTGGGCAAAAATTGTTTTATTAACTGCCATTTACTACCTGTTTAGTCTGAGCAAATTACTGAACTTTTTTTCTTAATTTCCTTATCTACACAGTAGAATTAATCTAAAATGGAAATAATAAAAATATCCCGTAAGCTGTTGTGAAGATCAAATTTGATAATATTCATAAGACAATACAGTGCCTAGCACAGTTCACTCTCAATAAAGGTTAATTGTCATTATCATCATTATGCTGTTCTGGAGGTTACTTTCCTCTTTTTTTTTTTCCTCTCTCATAATTTTTTTCTTCTCACTGATTCCCATTAATAAAATATTTTTAAATGTTCAGTATTTTAAAATGATTTTTATGAGACCCTCAGATGTAGAAAGCAATATATAGATACTTATTTCTTGTTATAAAGTTGCATTAAAAGGATTGTAGTTCGGGATATTCACTCCATAAGTTACATAAATATTTAATCCCTATGTTGTACATTAATATTATATTTTATTACACTGTAATTAAAAAAATTCGAAGGAATCATTAAAAAAGAGGCTGTACCCATTTCGATATCATTTTTAATCCATGATGCATGTATTAATTTATTGCTTTCCCAGAAAGGTGACAGAGTTTTCACTACCGGCACGATCTCGGGGGGCTATGCAGAGTTCGCTGTTGCGGCTGATGACACAGTTTACACACTGCCGGAGAAGCTGGACTTTAGACAAGGAGCTGCCCTCGGCGTCCCCTATTTCACTGCGTACCGAGCTCTGCTTCACAGGTACTAACACTGTCAACTATACAACCAACGACAATACAGCAACAACAAAGGAGGGCAGTATTAATTGCTTTTCTTCTTACCATCTGTGTACTATTTAGTTACCATTAAGCTTTTATGAAGTGGAAACTGCTAATTCAGGAGATTGCTTCTAATTACTGGGGATAAGAAGAACAAACACTGTATTTGTGTTCAAGATGCTCACAGTCTAGTAAGGGAGGCAGACGTAGAGAAATAACAGTTATATGCAATGTCAAAAGTACATGATGAAGATATGCATAGGAATTTATGGGATCGCAAGGGATTGCCTATGGTGATGACATAGGTCTTCCTGGCAAGGTATAAGGTGTGGATTATTTTAAAGCCATGGTTCGAAAATCTGGTTATCCAACCATGAAAACTAATTGCTGCAGTTTAAAAGTACAGTATAGGGCTGTACCCTAGACACTGGTCAATTTTCATAGCTGAGACATGAGAATCTATATTTTAATTAAATGCCCTGGGTATTTGAAGAAGATCAGAGGGAATTAGCATAGTGAAGGAGCTGGGAAGGGAGAGGGCTTTCTAGACAATGGGATAGTTGGTGTGTGAGAAAACATGGTATTTGGGGAGAGCTATAGCAGTGTGGTTTTGTTGGATAGAGGATTTTAAGGTAAGACTGGGAAAGAATAAGTAATTTCTCAATAAATGTTAGCTGTCATCACCACATCTGTAGGTTTCAGATTGTAAAAGCTGGATTATAAAGCTCACATATTGTTTTGTAAAGGATTGAGGATTCATGAAACATTTTATTTAGGAGAGTGATATTGTCATCTTCTTGTATTATTGGTATCGCTTATCAGCAGTATGGAGGATGGATTTGACCATAAGAAAGGAGACGGAGATGGGAGGGCCTTCTAGGAGTATCTTCCAGGCCAGCGCAAGGGTCATGGAAGAAGAGGTGAAGAGAAAAGGATAACTATTTATAGGTAAAATTGGGAATATTTGGTTGACTACAGGTGGAGAATGAGACAAAGAAAGAGCTTAAGAATACTTCTAACTTTCTAGCTTGAGTAATGTTTAACTGTGACCAAAAAAAGAGGAAAAAGTTTCAAAGGGAAGCTGAGTTCAGTTTTGGTCCTGAAACTGACAGACATCCTACTGGAGAAGTTCAGCAGGCTGTTGGATGAAAGAGTCGGAAGCTTGAAGGCTGGAGGTATACAGCATGTGGGTGAAAGCTGACAAGATGAACGTGATTGAAATCCCTCAGGGAGTGAGAACAGTGGAGTTAGAATGGAGCCTAGTGAACATCAACATTTAAGGGTATAGTCGGAGGTAGGAGACAGAGTCCCAGGAGAACCAAAAGGAGTTATTCTTAGACAAAGCAAGTCCAGAATCCATGGTGTCCATGAAGCATTTGTTAAGTTCATGGACTTTGAAAAAAGGAAGACCTGGGTTGGAGTCCTATCTTTACCCACTACTAGGGGTAGTAGTTGATTTTGCTTCTGAGGAGGGAAGCTGGCTGTCAAAAGCAGCAGTGAGATGTATTTGGAAAATAGCAGTTGGCTTAGCAATTAAGAGTCATTGGTAACTTTAGTCAGATTCTTTTCAGTAGAGTTGATTATGTTGAGGAAGGAAGAGGAAATACGGTATGTTCCTTGAATGGAGACTATTTTTTAAAAAGGATGTGTATATATACTAGAATTCTGGTGCATGAAATTCTTGCACAAGAGGGGTGGTCCCTCAGCCTGGCCTGTGTGCTCTCACAGTCTGGAAGCCCTTAGGGGTGGTCCGACTGAAGGACATCCTTAGTTGCCACATAGGTGGAAGAGACTCCCTGCAATGCCACTGCGCTCACCAGCCATGAGCCTGGCTTCTGGCTGAGAAGCGCTCCCCCTGTGGGAAAGCACAGACAACAAGGGGGCAGCTCCTGCATTGAGTGTCTGATCCCTGGTGGTCAGTGCACATCATAGCAACAGGTCATTCCACCATTTGGTCAATTTGCATATTAGACTTCTATTATATAGGATTTAAAAAGAGAGAGAGAATAAAGACTGGCTATCATGGACCTGTTTTGGGATGTTTCCTGTGGGAACCAGGGAGAAACTCTAGTTCCTCTAGCTTTAGCAGTTTCACTGGCATGCCTCCAAGGGCTGCAGCCTCTCAGAACAAGACCACAGGGTGGTCTCGCATCCAGCACGGGGCCTGGCACAATAGACTCCCATAAACGAGTGTTGAATGAATAAATGAACTGAGGTTTTCTCTTATCTGTGGCTCTGAAGAGTCATTGTCTGATCCTCTGGAGCCTGGAGAATATCCCAAAATGAGTTTCTTCCTTGGGTAAGTGGTAGCTGGTCTGAGGGTAGGAGTTCCTTGAGAATAATTATAAGTACCTGAGCTTAATTAGCTTTAAGGTGAGGTGATGAACCTGTGCTTTCTTTTGCAGTGCCCATGCAAAAGCTGGAGAGAGTGTTCTGGTTCATGGGGCTAGTGGAGGAGTAAGTATTTTTTTTAAGTTTATTTTTAAATGAGCTTTTGTTTGTGGGTTGTACACTTATGTACATTTTAAAAGCCAAATTTATAAATATAGTCAGGGGTGCTTTTTTCCTTTATGTGGTAAAGCTTCTATAAGTTTTGTCTTCTGAAGGTGATTCCTTGTCATTAGTTTAGCATTTCTTGGTTAATAAATTCACCAGATTACCCCATCGAAAATATATCTATTAGGTTTTTCACCTGTGTTGAGTGTGGACCAAGATAAACTGGCTTTGTTTTTGCCTTCAAGTGGCATATGTTGTAAGAATGCTTATGTAGAATTTTAAACAGTTCTTTAAAGTTTTACATATGTTGCCTCAGACAGCAAGGCAAAGCCACACTAAATTCTTTGTCCTCTCTTGTCTTCCTTCGGCTGCCTGCCTGCTGCGCTTTGATGACATTCACCACGCAAAGTATACAGCTGTGTCCTTAACACCGCAACCCGTGGCTTACAACGCTAGTGGCGGGTGGGGGAAGTGGGGACTCAGGATGTATGAAATAAGCCCTTTAGGGAAGTCACGGAATGCAGGGCTGTCAGAAGCCTCTTCAAGAAACCTGCTGTCAATCTGTCTTTGAGGAGCTTAGAGGAAGAGTTAGAGCTCTGAGGTCGGAACTGAACAAGAAATCCATACGACCTCTATCCTGTGAGTAGAGGTTTAGAAATTTTGGAGACAGGATTTTCCAGTTTTAACAGAAAGGGGCTAGGACAAGAAGGCTCACCTTGGAAAGCTGGTTAACCCTTTCAGAGCACTAGGTTTTCTGGACAGGAGGTTAGAAGTAGTAACCTATTAAACGGTACATTTAATAGAATAATGAGTGGGATCCCGAAAATGTGAATTTACCTTTGAAGGGGCCAGGTAATGCAGATAATTCAGCCCATTGTGTCTCTGTTACTTTAGATAGATGAATTGCAAGGTTTCCCACCCAGCATCCTGTATACTTCAAATAGATCAATTCTGAAGGATTTCACAGATCAGACTGTTTGCTAAAAAACACCAAGATTCTCCTTATGGTGCTTGAGAAAACATGACAAATATATCTTGTCAAGAACTCTCATTGTTTAGTTTCACTGAAGAGGCTATTTTTGGGTTAAATTAAATTTAACCCTAAATAATGAAAGGCTCTGGGAAACGTACATTTATTTAAATCACTTTGGCTTTCAGAGAGCGCACCTTGTACTCTGGAGAGAAGGGAGAAATTTTAATAGGGGAGAGAAAATCTCTTTTATTCCCTTTACCCTCTTGTAAAAAGCCCAGTCGCTTCACCATGATTTTTTTTTTAAAGGCAAAATCCATGCTGTTCTCTGTGCTGGCTGAGTTTGTTCATCCTTTGCTGGCAGGGATAGGCCAGCGACCTGGTGTGTGAAGCGCTTTTGATCCCCCAGCCCCGTTAGAGGGAAGCAGCACAGGGCTTTTCTTGCTTCCGTTTGTACTTTCTGTCCTCGTTTAATTCAAATTCCTTTGGGATTATGTTGTGTATTTAAACTGATGTGGAGCTTATGAGTCTAGCCATTATCCAGATATTTTGGTGGGGAGTGCCCTATTATAATGTCAGCAAAGTAAATAGAAGAAAAGTGTAGGTACATAATGCTGTATAACCTCCTGGGGGAATATGGCTAGTATAATTGTTGACAAGAAGAGAATAAACAAATAGCAGTTGAGTGCCCCTTTAAAGTAGTTAGAGGCTACTTTATTAAAGGCTGTTTTTAATTTTCAGTTAAAAACTTAAATAGTAAAAATTGATCATGCTAATAACCCCATAGTTTACTTCATGGAATTGAACGTCTGTCTCAGACAGTGAGTTCCATATGTTTGTTTTGGTTAAATCAAATTCCTGTTGTAATCCAGCTGAGTTCAGGCTTATCATGCCTGTATGCCTTATAGGTCTACCTCAGGCCTGCGAGCTTGTGATGCTGTGACAGGTCTTATTAAGTTCCATTATCATCTCACTTGTTTTCTACCCTGCCCAATCCATAATGATTTTGCCTTCCTCTAAGCCAGTTGTTATCAATAAAGGGTGATGTTGCATCATCCTGCCCCTCCTTCAGGGACATTTGGCAGTGTCTAGGGACATTTTTGGTTGTTGTATCTGGGTAGAGGGTTCTGGCATCTGGTTGGTAGACAGAAATTATGCTAAACATCCTTCAATGCATACGGGAAAGAATTTTCTGGCCTAAAATGTCAATAATGTTAAGTTTGAGAAATGCTGCTGTAAATGTTTGTGACACTCATCTGTACCATTCATTTAGCATATAATCAAACATATATGGCCTAGTATTGTAATTTGAATAATTGCTGATGTCTATATATATATTTATTTCTTCTTTATCTTAAGCACATTTTTTTTTTGACTATCTAATGATTTCATCCAATCCTATGGCTTTAAATACCATTTGTAAACTGATAAATCTCAGGTTTATTATTTTCAGCTCGAAACTCTTTCCAGTCCATACCCATATTGAGCTGATTACTGAATGTCACCAGTTAGGTGAGCAATATACAACTCAGCATGTTCAAAGTGAATTATTGACGCTTTCACAAACTTGATCCTCTCTAATCTTCCTTATCCCATTAATCTACCCAGTTAATCTGGCCAAATACCTGGGAGACATCCTTGATTTTTCTCCTTCCTCCCTTCCCACAATCTAAGAGGAAGGCCCTTCAGTTAGCTTTAAATTGTATCTGAACTTGTTATTCTTTCCAGTGTGGCCACATTAGTGCGAGCTAGCTTCACCTCTTATCTTGACCACTATATCAGCTGCTAACTGGCCTTCCTACTCTTGTTTCCCGGAAGCCTTCTTTTTTCCTCTTATATAATTTGAGTGATTTTTAAAAAATAAATCTTTATTGTTCAGATTATTACAATTGTTTCTCCTTCCCCACCCATAGCTCCCCTCCACCTGGTCCCCACTCGACTCTCTGCTCTTACCTCTCCCCCCTCTCCACTGTCCTCATCCATAGGTATATGATTTTTGTCCAATCTCTTTCCATACCCCCCACACAGACATCCCTTTCCCCCTGAGAATTATCAATCCCCTCCCATTCTATTTTAAGGCCTAAATCTGATCACACCCGATTTAAGCTCTCTGGTAGTTCTGCATGGTTCTTTAATATAATCCCAACCTCTACTCCCAGGGCCCTGTGTGCCTGGCCTCTCTGTGCCCCTTTGGCCTCTTCCACTATCTCCCCATTTGCTCCTCAGGCCACATTGTCCCTCTTTCTTTTGAGCCCCCCACACTCATTCCCACTTCACCGAATTAGCCGTGACCATTCTGCCTGTAGCATTCTCCATGTGGCTTCCCTGATCTTCAGCTTGGCTTGTCTCTCACTTTATTCAGGCGTCATCTCTTCACAGCACTTTTTCCTAATGACTGAACTGCCTCTTTTTCCTATCTCTTTCTAGTCCAGTAGGCTATTTTATTTTTTTCATACTTTTTATTTTCTGAATTTATGTTGTTCATGTAGCATGTTTTTATGTGTTTATCATCTTCCCCCTTCTTTAGAATGTTTCTTGGGTCAAGTACCATGCCAAGCACATAGTAGACATTCAATAAGAGTTTATCATATAGATGAGTAAATTAATTTGACCATGTATCTGTCTCTTCCACTTAAATGGTAGAGCCTTTACATTTATTATAGAGTATTTTTATATGTGTAATTAAAGTATGAAGTCTGTGAACATATTTTTATTAGCTCTAAACCCTGTACCTTTGCACAAAACTAAGTAAACATTTTAATGCATTGGTTAAAAACTCAAGCTTTGCAGTCTGATTTGGTCCAGCTCTTGTTTCTATCCCTGTGACCTGGGCAAGTTACTTACATTTTATAATTTTAGTTTTCTTATCTGTAGACTGGGGATAATAATCAATCTGTATCATGGGCTTCTTGTGAGGATGAAAGCAAAGTGATACACATATATTATTTAGTGTGTAACCTGGCATATTATAAACGCTCAATAAAAGTTATCTATTGTTCTTATTCATTTATATTTGAACTTCCTTAATAATAGACTTAGAAAAACCTTACCTTCATTATCCATACTTAACAAATGTTTGCAAGGATGCAAAGAATCTAAAAATACTGGGTTAAGAGTATAAACTGATGATAGCCAGATGGGAGGGATTTCGGAGGCTGGATGAAAAAGCTAAAGGGATTAAGAAGTACAAATTGGTATTTACAAAATAGTCTTGAGGATGAAAAGTACAGTATAGGGAATACAATCAATAATATAGTATTTGTAATAACTATGTATAGTGCCAGGTGCATATTGGACTTATTGGGGAATCACTACATAAATTGTCATATATCTCACCACTAGGCTATACACCTGAAACCAATATAAAATAATATTGAATGTGAGCTTTAATTGACAAATAAAAAATGTGCACTCTCCCTCTAAAAAAAATAAATAAATAAAACCATTGTGTTGTATTTCGTTTTTCAGGTAGGACTAGCAGCATGCCAAATTGCTCGAGCTTATGGCTTAAAGGTTTTGGGCACAGCTGGTACCGAGGAAGGAAAAAACATCGTTTTGCAAAATGGAGCCCATGAAGTGTTTAATCACAGAGAGGTTAATTATATTGATAAAATTAAGGTAAAATTTTTCTAGAGTTTTTATAAAAGTAAAATTTTGTTTCTTGGGAAACATACATTTTTATAAGTTATTTTAAACTATTCTCTTAAAGTTTTTTACCTCTTTTTTTAAATGCCTGTATGTTGGGTTTTTGTTTTTCCCTCTCTGTGTGTTTTAATGTTTTAATTTAAAAAGCAGAGATGTCCAATTTTTAAACTTTCACTCTTATTTTTGTCTTGTTTATGTTTGCCAAATAAAATTTAGCCTCTCAAGTCTTCCACCTATCAGAGTTTAATGCCAGTCACAGTTTAAGTAAATACACAGTTCTATATTTGCACCTGTGAGGTTTTATTAATATAATTTCTATTGGTATAAATTTTTTATGGAAGGTGAAATATCCTAAGATTACAAACTTGATCTCTCTGGCCTAGGAAAGAACATTTATTTGTTAACCGGATGCTTTGGGCTCCAAAATTTGGAGGAATAATCACTGCTTCCTCCAAAGCAGTGAGGTAGCATTTAATGAGTTCTTGCATATGTTCCTTTGCTACAATAGAATTCAAGCAGATTCTGAAGTTCTCCATTTGTGCTCTACTAGCAATTTACCAAACACTGATTACTTTGCTAACCCTCAAATTACCTGCTCATATTGAGAAAGAATTAGAGTTTTCTAGGTGCTGATTACTTGTAAACTAGGCCATTACAAACTAAGGAAATGATGAGTGAGAGTTTATTACCATTAAATCAACTTACCACAAAAATGAGTAAAGGCACTCCTTTGTTATATGTCTAGGAAACCTACAATTAATGGAATATTTACTCCTGGAATCAATTTCCAAGAGTGTTTACAAAGTTGAAAAACAGCCAGTTATTTTAAGAAGATATTTTTGTTTTGCAGTAATCTAATTTTAGGACCATTAAGTCTTGTAGCTTATATCATTTTAAACACATTTTTGCAATGCATGGGAGAATTATAACTTTTATAAATTTTTTTTTACTTGCTTTCTTAACTTATTTTGCATTCTTTTATATTATATAGAAATCTGTTGGCGAAAAAGGAATTAATATTATTCTTGAAATGTTAGCTAACGTAAATCTTAGTAGTGATTTGAATCTTCTATCATACGGAGGACGAGTAATAGTAAGTATTTCTCTTTTTTTAACCACTTTGAAGTTTTGTCATAATTTAACAATATCCTATATAATAAAAGGCTAATATGAAAATTGTCCCTTTGGGAGTTTGAAGGGGAGTTTGACCAGGGGGCGGGGCTAGCTGGCCAACTGCCTGTTGCCCCTCCCTTTGCTAGCTGGACCCACCTGTACACAAATTTGCACACCGGGCCTCTAGTTTTGCAATAATCTTTAACTGTGAGCATGTTGTTCTTCATAATAGGTTGTTGGCAGCAGAGGTCCTATCGAAATAAACCCCCGGGACACCATGGCAAAGGAATCTAGTATAATTGGAGTTGCTATGTATTCGTCAACCCAGGTAGGAAAAGAAGTCATTTTGATTTTGGTAACTTAAACACTGGTCAATTTGCCTAGTCAGGCAGGCTGAAAGTTTAAGTAGATGTTAAATTAAATTTTTTTTTTAACGTTTGTGTGCATTAAGGCTTAGTCATCAGAAGATAACTAGGTTGGCAATATCATTTTTTTCCAAGTCAGGACACTTTTGAGGAGAAAGAAGATACTATTCGTAATCACTTCAGAACAGTATTTTGTAATCTGATATTGTCTCAAACAAATTGGACTTATGGCTACCCTATATAGGCCTCTTTTTCTGTAATTCTGGATAAGTTGACAAAAGCCACACATTTGTAAGAAACTCTCAATGCTGAGAGATTCTGAAAATATTTAATGCTTCTGAAAATCAACTCATATGTTATTCTACAAAAAAAAAAAAAAACAAAAACACAAAAAACCTTTTTCTTTCACTTTAGGAAGAATTTCGGCAATTTGCAGCAGCTCTTCAAGCTGGAATGGAAGTTGGTTGGTTGAAACCTGTAATAGGTTCTCAGTATCCATTGGAGAAGGCGGTCCAGGCTCATGAAAACATCATCCATAGCAGTGGGGCTACTGGAAAAATGATTCTTGTCATGTAATAATTCCCTCATGTATTTACTGTGTAATTAGAGGTCTCTTATCCCAGTTTTACTTACACTATTGCTGCTTTAATTGGCATTCATTTAATTCATTGAATTTCTTATATTCAAAAGGTTTGTCCTTAGATATCCTGGGCATTGGAGCACGGTATATGTTATAGCTGACAATATTCTTTATGCTATAATCAAGCAATCATAGTAGGAAGTAGAATGTTGTGGTCATTGACATTGGGGTGCGTTATAGATATTCCTGTTACCTTATCATTAATTTCATACCTTTGATTAAAACATGCTAATTGGAAATAAGACTGCTTGATTTCCAAGCCTATTTCTTCTAAGGATGTTTCTTTCATCTCTGATTAGCCCAGAACTGTATTGGATGCTGCAGATTTTGGGGACTAAACAAGACCCCTGTCCAAGCTAATTTTATCTGGGACAGATAAACAATATTTATTAATTTTCCAATATTTATCAAAGTACTAGAACATTCACTATGTTATGATTGATTACTAGTACTCTGTACATTCTGGGACAGTAGCCTTTTTTTTGGTGTAATATGATCCTAGGTGCATAGTCTCCAGATACATACTTCTTGGCTGACTTGTTTTCAAATTAAATTTAGAATTATCTGTTTGTATGACAGGAGTCATATATATTTTTTAAATAAATAAAAAAAAATTGACATATTAAGAATGATCTGCTTTTGTTTTCATAACATAGTAACCTGCAATGATTCTGTGGGAAATTAAAAACTGTGCTTATTTAGTTTGTATATTTTACTTGCCTTACTTCATTTTTACATAGCTCCTAATGGTCCCACTCTAACAGAATTCTGTGCTGGAAGTCTTTATCTAAACTAAAGAAGTGATTGCTTAGAAATCTTGCCGTCAACATTATGTCCAAGGAAATGAGGTTTGCTTGTTAATTCTGTCTTGTTTTTTCTTCCTGTGAACACAACCTCTTATCTGTTGTAGCATTATGTGGTTGGTCCTCTTGACCTGATTTGTTCTGTTGAATGACAGTCATGTTCCTAGTATGAACATGGAATTCTGCTTTAATAGTGAACAGAAAGCCCTGCTAACTTCTGTAATTGAGGGCTGTCATTGGCTTCTGGCTGTATGTGCCATGGCTGAAGTGTTTTGCTATTAGCATTTTTCAAGTTCATTCACTATTTCTTTTATAAATTAGTGCCCTATGAAATAATATGTTTAAAAAAGTGTTAAAAAACCAATGTTGCCCTGGCAGCGTGGCTCAGTTGATTGGAGCATTTTCCCATACACCAAAATGTTTCAGGTTTGATTCCTAGTCAGGGCACATACCTGGATTGCAAATTCAATTCACAGATGGGGTGTGTATGGGAGATGATCCATTGATATCTCCTTCCCTCTCTCCCTCCATCCCTCCCTCCCTCCCCTTTCTCCTTCTCTTCCTCCTCCCTCTTCTCTTCCTCTCTCTCCAAAATCAATTAAAACAAAAGCATATCCTTAGGTGAGGAGTAAAAACAAACAATACCATGATTCTAGAAACTAGTATGTTATATACATCCTAAAATGAAAGATTCCTCCCCATACGAAAAAGATAAAGGAGTCAATATTCTCACCAAAAAGTGAGAATCTTTTTGGTGCCCCAGTTGGAGAGCCCGGCTCTCAGCTCCTTTCAGCTCTTCTTTGGGGCCCTCCCTGGCCCAGTCTCCCCTTTCCCTGACAGGCCAAAGCTATGATGACTACAGCCTTGTGGGCAGCTTAGAATGCAAAGACCCACAGGCACCTGAAAACTCACCTACAAACGCATGGATCCTCTGGACTACAGGAATCAGAGTGCCCAGCAGTTTCAGATCTTGAAGTGATTTTTCTCCATCTTCCTCTGTCTCTTTTCTAAACCTGCCTTTTACAGAATAATTACCCCTCATCTATAGAAAGAGCTGAAGCATACTGCTCACTTCACACTTCACAATCCCTTGATACACTTCAGTTAACTAGCCAAACTCTCTGTATTAACTACCACATTCATGATTTTATAGCATTGGACCTGTGCCCTATATGAATCTCCTTCTAGTTCTAGTTCTATACTAGTCTCAGTTTTCAGCCTCAGGGACCAGTGCTGTCCCTGATGCAAAGAGGAGAATAACCTCTGGAATCTATAAGGATTATGTCATGTCTCAATCATCTGAATTTCTGTTTCTATTTGCTTTGACCTTAGAATCATATAATGTGTTAGAGATGAATAGATCAGTCACCCTGAGTTTAAGAAAGTGAAAGAACATGCTAAAGGTCACATGATTAGTAAATTCAAACTCAGCCAACATTGTTTAGTAGGCTTTTGATATAAAATCCTGAATTTAAATTTCCAGGCTTGCTGTAACTCAGGAGACTGCCTGCCTTTGAGCCTCATTTTGTCTGAGATTCCTAGTTTCTGATCATATTATAGTTATGCTTGCTTCCATTTGTCACTTATCTCTTAATTTGACTCCTATGAAGGGATTATTCTGTTCATCCATCAGTTCAAAATATTTATTGAATTCATAAGAGTGAGAAGGCATAGTGCTAGAATTTTCAGATACAAAGATATAAAAAACTTAGTCTATATCCTTGAGCTTACAATTGTGTAGGGACAAGAGCCAAGCAAAACATTTTTTGGAGTATTGCATACACAAATTACACATATATGCAATTTTTAAAAAAGATTTTAAAAATTTTCTTATGCAGTTATGGGTGCTGAAAAGCCTAAATCTATAGGACAGGAGAGCAGGGTTTCTGTTTTAAGGCAGAATTCTTTCTCTAGGAAAATTCAATTTTTGTTCTAAGACTATTGACTGATTGAATGAGACCCACCTGCATTATTGAGGGTTAGCTACTTAAAAGCAGCTGGTGCCTTTCTAAATAAAACTAACCATTAAGGAGTGACCTGGGGACACAGGCGTGAGACACTTAGTGTAGCTTGGGATTTCCAATTACACATTTAGTATCTTTGAATGCATTAGTTAGCTCCCTCTATCCATAGGAGCTTTGGCCTTAGAACTACAAAGTAACTTGGATGCTTCTGAGAAATAAAAACCCAATCAGGTAGCATTTTATAAAATCCTCTGGTCAGCTTTATCGAGGCAAGACATTCTATGTGTGCCAGGGTGTTTCCACAATCCACACAAAGTGCAAAGAGCTTTTTTTCCATTCAAGATAATTATCAAGAACAGCAAAACCTATCAGGTCACTTTGGCCTGGTTCTCTGTGCCCTCAACTGCATCTTACAGAAAACACCCCGCTCCGTCTTTAACTCTCTCTCCACTGTGTTTTATAGCACAGTGATTTTCTAAAATGTCATTTGAAGATTGTCAGGAGACTATTTTATTAATCCATAGGGCTTTAGGAATAGCTCATATTGAGGTAACTTATTAGTACATGAAAAAGTATAGGAAATTTGATATCATCAAAAGAAATCTAAAGTCACTTTGGTCTATGTCAGTGACCACTGACACAGGTATCGGTGGGGACACTCCATGTGCTTTAAAAGTGGTTCTAAGCCAATTACGTGATAGAGATGCTCATTAAAGTGTGTTAAAAATGGCCACAAATTAGCAGTCCTTCATATATCCTTACACACCAAGACTGCAACTGTACAGAAACTAAAGAGGAAACCCTTTGCCAAAATCCATTAGGAATTTACACTAATTCCAGTGTCAACCATTTTGTACATTGACCCAAATTAGCTGCAAGATAAGTAGGAAAAAAGTCTCAACTCAGCCACTGCTTCTTACTCAGGACCCAGGAACCGCACTGCCTAGAAAATTGACCCCTTTTTGCTCAGAAATATTTGAGTTAGCTGGAGATTATGTTTTTCCTCAGCATCTTGCTTTCCTTTACATTTTATGAATTATAAGATTCAATTTTTGGTGCAACTGAAGATTCAGGAGGCAGGGACACTTTGCATCCTTGGACGTACAGTCACACAGAGAAAGCCTTGCAAGGAAGGTCCCTGGATTGCAGTGAATACTGCAGTCTATTCAGCACTTGTACTAAGAACATTTGCTTGAGTCCTGCGAAGCAGGAGATGCTCACTGCTTAGTCCAGTGGGCATGAGGAGAGACACAAGGTGCTTATGAGGCCACCTCACTCCAGCTATAGATTTTATAGGAACTGAACTCCCTTATACACAGGGAGGTGAGCCAAGGAACTATGCAACCCTGTGTTGAAGTTGCTGAGAGCATAGATTGCAGAGGTAGACAGCCTGGCTTTAAATCCTGACTCTACTGTGGAGTCCTGGGCAAATTACCTGGAGTCTCAATGTCTTCACATGTAACATGGGAGTAATTTTTACATGGAGTGTAAGAAGCAAACAAGATATTGTCTCTAAAATACTTAGCACTCTGTCTTGCACAAAGAAGTGTTTAGACAAAAGTTATTTACATGAGCTGTGAGATAAAAGGGAGGAATGAAAAGGGAGTATCCTGAAATACGGGAAAAATGAAAGGAAACCCAAATGCAGATTCCTATAGAACGTATGAATCAGCATAACTGCCATTATGGAAGACATCATTGCTCATAATGGGTAATTTGGTCACTTGCCAAAAATATGGAGAAAAGAGATGGAAAAAAAAAATAGAGCAAATGAAAAAAGAAAATGCAACCTTTGAAGTGTAAATGTGCCTCCTCAAAACCCAGAAAAGTAAAAGCAGTAATAATTAAAAGTTTCTGGAGCTTACCAAAATAACTAAGTTTATTAATTGACAGCATTTATTATGTCTATGCAAAATTAATGAAAATTAGTAATAAGACATATCTTAATTTAAAAATTTTTACATAGATATTGGAAGGGAGCATGCAGAAGAATAATTATAGTTATGTTATTCAAAACCTAGAGAATGTAAGAGAACAAATGAAAAAACTAGTAATGAATACAGAAAGGTGGCTAATTGCATAATATATAAAAATTAATAAAAACCAGATGATCAATTAGAAAGTATAATGGAGGAAAAAAGAGCACATTAACTATAGCAGTACTACTAT